CCCGCATCATTGGATGGTGGTGACTCAGTGTGTAATGTAATAAGTCTGGTTGAGGTAATCTCCGAGCTTACTATACCTTTTCTCTTTCGCTCTCCTACAACTCTCTCTCTAGGGCATGCCTCACTCTCTCTCCTCTCCCTTCTCTCTCTAACTCTCTCTCTAATAACCCATAGAAGGACACGCTCAAACCCTAGGGCTCTAATGTTTCTCTCTCATCCTAAAAAATTCTAAAGGTTGGGTAATGTGGGGATATGCCAAAATACTTTGGGGTTAGGTTCTGAGTTGGTAGAGATTTAAAGGTGCATAAACAGTTTGGCCAAAGTTTGCTTTCTCAATTCGAGATTAAAACTAAATCGTTGATCCTTCGCCATCGGATGGTGGTGACTCGGTGTGGGATGTAGTAAGTCTGGTTGAGGTAATCTCCGACATCCTCTACTTTATTTCTTGCAATTTTATTTTTATATTCTCAAGCATGATACATAATTGTTTCAATGGCATCAAGTTGTTAAGATCTTGTTTTATATTGTTATGATTTTATTTTTTGATATATTTGATATTGTAATAAGACCACCTGTAAATGATGTTTTGCAAAAACAAAAGAGGTGAAAAAATATATATATATATATATATGAGAAAAGATGGGATTAGCTTATTAGTTCATATGAACATATGAGCCCAACGTCTCAAATTGATTTTAGGCCGATCTGACGATCACGAATATCCAGTAGTATTTGAATTTTAATTTTTTTCTATAAATCCAAATTACTTGAAATTTTAGGTGTATGTTCATAAACAATAAGTGAATCTTCGAAAAATATCAAAAAAATATTTTACAAGAAATAAATTGACCAAAATACCCCCAAAAATTTTTGGGGGGCATTTTGATCATTTTTTTTGTGAATAAATTTTTTTTATATTTTTATTAGGTGCGCCTTGATGAGAAAAACACACACTTAAAATTTCAAATGATTTGGATTTATAAAAAAGTAAATAAAATTCAAGTACTACTAGACATTCGTGATCGTCAGATCGGCCCAGATTCAAACTGGATCGTTGGGCTCATATGTTCACATGAGCTAGTGGGCTAATCCAATCTTTTCCCTATATATATATATATATATATATATATATTC